ATAGAATAGAATAGAATAGAATTCTTTATTGGCCAAGTGTGGTTGGATGCACAAGGAATTTGTCTTGATGCATATGCTCTCAGTATACATAAAAGATACATTCATCAAGAATCATATGGTATAACACTTAATGATAGTTATAAGGTACAATAAGCAATCGAATCATGCTAGGAAACAGTCAGTATAGATCGTAAGGATACAAGCGACAAAGTTACAGTCACAAGTGGGAGGGGATGGGTGATAAGGAGTGATGAGAAGATAATTGTTTATGCTTAGATGGAGCATTTGCCCTGTTAATATTCCACGTAATAGACTTAATTTTCATCTTTGCCACAAAGTAGTAGGTTCCCGTAGAACTATCTTAGCCTGCCTTCTTCTTCAATACCAGCTTTCTGAGATTGTTCCACCTCCAGCTCCTTTTCTATATCCATTTCTTCACCTAGATATGAAATTAGATTGTGTCTAATCAAGAAATCCTTGACTTTTTCTATAGAATTCAGTCGGAAGAGAAATTTTCTCTTTTTCAAGATGTCAATAAGGAAAGCATAAGATCTTTTTTCTCAAAATTCTAACCAGGATTTCTTTTAGAGCAATTATATCCATGTTTTCCATTCTCAGTTTATTTTTAAAATAGCAATCCAAAACATCATCTCTTGTTATTCTTTTTGCAAAGTGACTTATGATGTCCCTTGGTAATTTTCTTGTGGTGGCAAATCTAGAATTTACTCTGTGTACTCTGTCTTAAGTCCATATCGAGAAGTTTTTCTTCTTTATTAATTAACTGAGCCAAAGCCTTAACCATCCTTAGTCTGATTACCTTCTCCTGGTTATTCAGCAATTGCTCGAAATCTTAATTGTAATTCCTTCATCTGGGTTTCCAAAATTGTTCCCTCATCCAATTCAGCTTCACAGAAAGCTGAATTTGTCTTCTCTAATTTGTGCACCATAAGATCCACTCATAAGATCCACTTCACCTGTTTGATATCTCCATTTAGACATTGGAATTCCTGCCAGAGTTCCCTGGGCAGAGCATCAATCTTGGACTCAAGTTTTATTTCCATAGATTGAATTAATTCATGTGTTTTAACTGTATGTTCATTCATAAACAGTGTTAGAACTTCTATATCCCCATATAATCTCTCTAATTTTTCTATCTTCCTAGGTGTGGTCATAATGATATAAATCTGACATTCAAATTTTTAAAATTAGGAGTTTTAGAGTTGTAGATTTTTAGACTTTTAAATTTGTAGCATAAAATCCATTTGGTTTAATAATGCTTGTGAGACATTAAAAAGAATTAGCAATACTATGGTCTTTTGGCTCCCTTTTGTGGTGAATCAATGCTATAATACAAAAAGAACCAAAAAGCTTAAGCTCTGCCTCTTCGTTTTAAGCTAGTCCAACCAAACACAGTTAAAATTGCAACTATTTCACCCGCTCTTCATAGCAGGCTCAAAACACCATTGGAGCAGTCCTTATCTTAAGCTCAAAAAGAAAGCTCTGCAGAATTGGCTGGCTGTATGAAATCCACTAAAAAAAATTTAAATCCAAAAGATTCGAAAAATATTTTCCACTGTTGGAAAAAAATATCCTTCTGGGTTCAGTTCCAAGTGGGGGAAAAGATGGATTCATGGAAGTTGCTTGGAAAAAAAGGTTTAATGATGGACAGGACCACGTGAGCAAAAAGGCAAGAGATGCTGAGAATCCCTTGGTTTCATACCCTCTGTTGGGCCCCACCTTAGTGTTTCCTGTTCATGTGTAAGAAATGTTTCTCATTGGCTGTCAGACTCCCAGCTAACTTTGTCTGCACCATATGGCTTTACCTGAGTGCTGGCTAATGCAACCTTCCCAGGTGCCATGTGGTGAGACGGGTAATCCTATCATTTCCTGAGGGCAATGTCTTAATCCCATCACCCTGGAGCTGAAGGCGGAGGGCAGGAAGCTGCTTTGTCTTTAAAACACGTTTCTCATTTTCTTCATCCAGGGAAATATAATATTCTGCCTTTTTAATGTTTCCTAGAATATTTCCTTCTTCTAGGAGAGGGGTAGGTGCTAACTTTCTACAATATACCCCCCCCTTTTTTGCCAAAATATGTGGGTGGAACACACAATTGGCAAAAGATTTTTTAAAAATGATCAGATCAGGGAGACTTGATGGGTGCTTTTAATTTTTCTGATGCAAAGGGGAAGGCATTGAAAGAGGCAACAAAAAAAGGATTCCTTTGGCGGCTCCTAAAAAGCTTTCAACCACGAAGGTCTAGCAGCCAGGGGAAAAGTTCTGGAAATAAATTTACAGTATCCAATTTTCCATGCCAATTATTTTCACATGTTTACTTAGTTCATAGATTTTCCAGAATGACAAATATATGAGAAAAATTGGTACATAACCTGGTATGTATGTATGTATGTATGAATGCCTTTAAAATCCATTATGAACATTTCTTACATTCTCTCATATATAGTAATTAGTTTTGCTTGATTTTTATATTAAATAAAAACTGACAAAATGTATGAAATCTTAATATTTTTAATGTTTTTTCCTGATATTGTATTTTTTTGATACTATGAATCCTATATGCATATGGGACACTTATCTTCAAATAATGAACAAACATTTCATCATTTGATATGAATATAGATAGCAATTTAATCTTTGTTTATAGCTAAAAGCCAACCATTTCAATTTTTTAAACAAAATAAAACTTATTTTATTCATTTCTCTATTAAAAAGGGTAAAATGTACTTCACTATCACAATTCTGTAGTAGCACCTTGAGAAACCATTAACTCCTTTTTAACTTTACAAGTATTTACACAATGTTTTACTACATTGTATTAACAAACGGGAAAATTCGATCCTTCAGGAAAAAATAATTATTAAAAAATTACTGCCAGGATGCCCCAACCTTTTTTTTTTTTTTTGAATACCAGATGTTTTATGTGGATTCCAAATCTGCACTAGTAGTTTTACTTGATGCTTAAAAAAATCTGAAATGTTTCTTTGTAGGAATATCATTAAGTAGTTTCTGAATAACAGAGTTGGGAGAGTCATCTAGTCCAACCTTCTGCTCAAGCCAGAGTCTCTGTTGTCCCCAATTCGGGTGTCAGCCTGGTGCCAAAGCCAGTGACAGACGCCAGTCAGGAGGTGCAGGCTTTCTGATTGCATTTTATTGGAGTATACTCCAAGGAAAAGGGCTCCTGGTCAAAATGCCAAGAGCCAAGAACAAAGAATTGAGTAAGTTTTATACATTTTCACTAAAGGAGAAGGTGGGACAAAGAGAGATAATAAGAAATATCATCTAATAAACATTTTAGCAATAATTCTACAATTTGCTCTATTCGTCTCTCCATCTGTCTTTATTCCCAAGTCTTGGCTAATGGAACGCCCTAGAATTATCCAATACACATTTGATTTGCTGAAGTCTGAGGTCTAAAAGTTGGAGAACTCGTGTTACTTTTGCTAGCTTTCCAATTAGCCAGGTCTAAAAGTTGGATAACTCGTGTTACTTTTGCTAGCTTTCCAATTAGCCAGCATTGTTACAAGATTTATACACGCATATCCTCCTGTGGATAAGCATTCTTTGTTCTTGCCAGACAAGACTCCACAATTACAGGCTTCCTGGTTTACTTTGAAGCGTGTGCCATGACCTGGCTTTACTTTTAGCAGATCGCCCATCAACCCCATGTCATTTCTGACAAGTGTCTGTCCAGCCTCTCCTCGAAAGTCTCCAGTGATGAAGCAGCCACGTCTGAAGGCAAACTTGTTTCGTTGGTTGATTGTCCTCGCTGTCAGAATTTCTCCCCCTTATTTCTAGGTTGAATCTTTTGTTCGGTTTCCGTCCATGATTCCTTGTCTGGCCTTTGGGTGCTTTGGAGAATAAATAGGTTGTCTCTCACCTCGCTGTGACAGCCCCTCAAATATTGGAAACACTTCTATCATGTCACACCTGGTCCTTCTTTGCACTAGACTAGCCGTGTCTAGTCCTTGCAACCCTTGTTCTTGATCATGTTTTAGTTTCCAGGCCCATAATCATTGTCGCTCCTCTTTGCACTTTTTCTAAAGTCTCAGTATCTTTTTATTTTATTTTATAGTGTGGTGACCAAAACTGGATCTAGGTGTGGCCACCCACGAGCCATTCTGATTAGTGTAGTTTATTTTTTATAATGAGAAATACTGATAAAAAAAATTCATGTCATGATTTGATAGAATTCCTTAACCCCGCCCTTCATGTTATATGTAGCAACCATTTAATCGTCCGTAAAAATGTTTTTTTTTTCCTTTTTCTTCTATGATTTCTCTACTTCATGATGATTGCAGCTATTTCGTTTCTCATATTGCCACTTTTGAGAAGGCGCGATATGGCTACACTGCAAACACACACACACACCGTTATTAATTACTCCAATAAGTTTTTTGGGAGTTGCTGGAGCCGAGAAAAACAAGAACCGTAATCCGCCGCGTCTGCGAGGTTCTCTCTCTTTTTTGTTGCTTTTTGCTTTCAAAAAGATACACCGGTAGAAGCAAGACCGGCGACGTGAGAACTTGGCCTACCGTAATGGCGCTCAGGCTAACAAACTACCTTTCCCAGCATGCAAAGCGGCCTAGAAACTTCCGCCTAACCGGGGAAAAAATCGACGCAAGTCGACGCCCTGTAAACAAAAGCGGTCATTAGCGCTGGCTGGCTGAGGAATTCTGGGAGTTGAAGTCCCCAAGTCTTAAAGCGGCCAAGGTTGGAAGACCCCTGCATTAGCGAACAAAATGGAAAACTATAGAGACCGGATATCCACGCACGACCTGTCTCGTTGAAATGTCACTTAGAGTCATGGGTCCTATTGGCTATTTTTAAGCCCCTCCCCTAAATATCATTGAGCCCCGCCTCTGGTCGCTTCCGGGCCATGTATAAAAGCCGCGTCGGCCGTCGCGCTGCGTCTTTAGTTTCTGGCGTATGAGAGGAGAAAGATGTATCGATTCCGTTCACGGGCATCCACGGGGATTTCTACCGCTGCTTCAGCTTTGCTTCTCGCCTGCCGCTTTCAATCCCATCCACTGGCTCGGTCCGAGAAGCCGGCCTCCGAAAGACATTTCTGTAGTAAAAAGCGCTCCTGGTCTTCCATCGGTTGATTGTCACTGCCGCCCGACGAAGAGGAGGAGGAGAAAATAAAAGACAAAGAGATCTCGGTGTGCCGGAACCAGCAGTAAGAAAGCCGCACGGAGAGAACTACCGTTCGTTGTAGGCCGCTGCCATGCCCAAATCGAAGCGGCGAGGAGGAGGAGGGGGTACCCCGCGCGGAACATCAGGTGAGCGGATTGGCTCTTACAGGAGTTGCCGCCGCGAGGCATGCTGGGTAGTGTAGTTCCGCGCTGCTTCGTTCTCTGACGGGCGGTTAGGTCTGAACTGCGGAACATCAGGTGAGCGGATTGGCTCTTACACGAGTTGCCGCCGCGAGGCATGCTGGGTAGTGTAGTTCTGCGCTGCTTCGTTCTCTGACGGGCGGTTAGGTCTGAACTGTAGGCCGCGGTGTATATTTCTTCGCTGCGGATGTGGGCGACGCCTTGGACGCGGCCCTGCCCTGGTTTTCCATGGCGTGTGTCATTGGGAGGGCTAGAAATGTGAAACGGCGGCTTTCATGGTTCCGTTTTGTCCTTAAATAGCCATATATTCAATTTTTAGGAGCGTTTATCAAAATATAAATCTGAACTCCTCGCTGTAATTCATGTAGGAATTCGAGATACTCTTGAAGAGTCTGATTTCAACGGAGCTTTTATTTTTTATTTGTAAAACTGAACGGTTAGCTTTGAATTCGCTTCTTCCATCAGTTAATGGTCTCAGTAGTGGAGGTCAACGGAAATGACCTTTTAATGTAAAAGACCTTAAAGAGCACTTTTAAAAGGAATAATAGAAAAGTGACAATTGCAAATCTGAAAATCTCCTGTCCAATGCGTTTTCCCAAGATATTGGTAAGGACATTTTTACAAGCAGTGGTTACTAATGAATAGATAGTGAATGCTTGTATGTAACTTCCGTGGTTCCATTTTGTCCTAAATATCCATATATTCGATTTTTAGAAGTGTTTATAAAAATACAAATCTGAAAGCCAAGGCCCAGTTCACAGAAACAAACTGTTTAAGAAACCATTATTGCCAGAAATAATCCTTTAAAGTTAAACTTGAATTGCTCATGACAGATGACCCAAGTGCAGAAGTATTATTTTACTGAATACTGATAGTGGCATTCAGAGGAATAAAATCCTTTAAGGTGTGTATAAGCCTTCCATTTTTTGTAAAATCTTTATAGTTGAGCAAGAAGTTCATGTTGGAAGAGAACTTTTGATTTTTCCTAATCCTGCTTCCTGCCGGGGAAAAGGATGCTCCGACTTCCTTAGTTTTGTATTGTTCTGGGACAGGCATGTGTGAATTTCATCTGCTATTCAAATATCTGCCTTCAAAGCTAGAAGAAAAATGTTCTGTTTGTCGTGTCAAAATTAGATCTTCACCGTAAATCCAAGGTATAGGTAGTCCTCTGTTAGCAATTGCAATTGGGGCTGGAATTGCTGTCGGCAAGCAATTCATAAAGCACAGCTTCCCATGACTGCTACTTTGCAACAGCAATTCCAACAGTCCTGGCTGCCATCGTTAAGCAAATCAATGTAGCTGCCATTTTTGACCTTCTCCTGGCTTCCCCATTGACTTTGCTTATTGGAAACTGGCAAAAGATTGCAGATGGCAAGCACAAGACCATTGGATGCTACAGCGTTGTAATCATGATCCGAGGTGGTATTCAGCTGGTTCACACCGGTTCTGGTGACCCGGTAGTAAGAATTTGGCGTGGGTCGCGCAACCGGTAGCAACTTCTGGCTGGCCACGCCCCCAAACCGGTCCCCCGGTTGCCCTGCCTAGTCACTCCTCCCTTTCTATGTGGCACACTGGGCCCTCATGGCTTGCCTAACCTGACTTCCCCACGTGGTGCCTGCACCCCAACTGAGCAGCCCTGATCTGCCTGCTCACAGGTAAGCCTGCGAGTCCCGCTAGGCCCTCGCCCACCGCCTGGGGCCTTTCCGTGCTTCTGCCCCACCGCCTGGGACCTTTTCAGAATTGAAAAGGACCACGGAGGTCTTCTAGTCCAACCCCCTGCTCGGGCAGGAAAACTCTGAGGATGCCAAAATCTGAATAGAGGTCCTGGGAAAGGTGTTCAGAATAACCCTTAGAAGGGACCTTGGGGGGAACTCTCTACCATTTCAGAGAAATGGCTGTCCAGTCTTTTGTTAAAAACCTCCAGTGTTGGAGCACCCAGAACGTCTGATGGCAAGCAGTTCCACTGGTTAATTGTTCTCACTGTCAGGAAGTTTCTCCTTACTTTTAGGTTGCTTCTCTTTTTGTTCAGTTTCCATCCTTCTGGAGCTTTGGAAAATACATTGCCCTCCCCCTCCTCTTTCTGGCAGCCCTCTAAAAGCCTGTTGCCTATCACCCTCTTGGGCAAAGCTTGTGAGCCATTTCCTCCTTTCAATGGTCCATGAAAGTACATCTATAGTACATAGATAATAAAGTCAAAAAAAAAAGGTGAACAACATTTTTACAGAACTATAGCTACGTTGAGGCTGAGTGTGACAAGGAATGGCTGGGTTGGGGAGGGGCCAGGCGAGGCACCCCTTGATGTGAGTGACATTGAGTTGGCCACACCCACCCAGTCACATGACCACCAAGCCACGCAGCCAGTCATGTGACCACCAAGCTGTGACCACCCAGTCACGTGACCTTAAGCCATGACCACCAAATAAGGCACGCCCACAGAACCGGTAGTAAAAAAATTTTTGAATCCCACCACTGATCATGATCCACATACCTGGATTGCAGTCACATGACCTCAAAGGTGCTCTGATGGCTGGAACTCCAAGGATCAGTCATAAGTTGAACAATTGCTGAGTGAGTGGTCATTAAGTGAGGACTTGAACTATTTTAGGCTTTCAGATTTATTCTTTACTCATGTTTGTTTTAGGTGGCATATTTTAAATAGCTAGCAGGCAGTGATAATTGTTAGTCTGGAGCAAAATAGAATGTTCTTATAGTATACTACTGCTCTTGAAGAGCATCAGTTGAGTGCAAAATGCAGCAGCCTGCATGGCTTTGTGCAGACCCCGGTGTGCGCATGTTTCACCTCTCCTGCGGGAGCGGCATTGGTTGCGGGTTTGCTTCTGGTGCAATTCAAGATGCTAGTTGTCACCTTTAAAACCTTTCATGGCTTGGGACCAGGTTATCTGAGGGAACGTCGCTTGCTGGTCACATCTACCTGACCCATCAGAGCAGGGAGACAGGGAATGTTACGGGTCCCATCCCTGAGGGTGATACACCTGGTGAGACCCAGAAGGGCCTTCTCTATGGTGGCTCCCTCTCTCTGGAACATCATTCCCCCCAGAGATTAGAATGGCCCCCTTTCTAATACTCTTCCGGAAGGCACTGAAGACCTGGTTCTGCCAGTGGGCCTGGGGAACCCAGAGTGGATGGAGCCCATCAAATGTCTCTTGTCATTGGGGCGGGGCGGGGCATGGGTGGGAGTTGGGGGATGATTTTTTTACCCCCCTCCAGTAGATTTTGTGTATTGTACTTTATTAGTTTATTTGATTCTTTTTGTTAGTTTTTATTGTTTTTTTTTTATTTTAAAAATGGTTTTACGTTCTGTAAGCCGCCTCAAGTTGCCATGGGCAAATAGGCGGCAATATAAATTCAATCCATCAATAAATACACGTTGATCTTTTTACGTGGAAGTGGAATGTTTGGATGCTTAAAATCTGAACAAATATAAGTACAGTTGCAGAAATATATGCTGGGAAAGTACCGTGGTAGCTAGTTCAACATTTAAGTAATACTTGGTCTCTAACAAAGTTCCCAGCATTCATTTTACTTCCGGGGGAATCCTAATTTAATAAATTAAAAGATGTGGCAATGTTTCTTCATGCTGTTTCCCATCATTAATGTGAATTATGCATTACTTTTTTAGGTGCCCAGCACAGAAACATGCAGTCTTTTAGTGATGAAGACGCATCAGTTGAAACTATGAGCCACTGCAGTGGCTTCAGTGATCCTGCCAGCTTCAACGAAGATGGTATGTCAGCATTTGAGCCCAAATGAAAACATGCTTCCGATTATATAGACTCCCTTTAGAGATAGTTTGGGTGGGGAATGTAATACATCATTTTAAGTCAGTTCATGAACAAAACAAGATTTGCAAAGTATAAGGGCTGTTTGCAGACACACACACACACCCTTTGTGCATTGATATCCTTCCAGGTATTTGCTCATGATTCTTTTCCATTTCTTTCTGAACATCCTTCATTCCAGACCCATCAAAGGTGAATTTGAGAATGGGAGGGTCTTCACTTCCTTGTTACAAAATTGAAAACTTCAGTTTTGATACTGAAAATATTGGCAGAGGAATATTGTACAGCAAAGAGATAGTTTATTAAAATGATAAAATGTTGTCATGCATATGTCCCCGCTATTACCATGTTTCTTCAAAAATACGACCTGGTTTTATTTTCTTTTGACCCCTGAAAAAATGGCTAGGGCTTCTTTTCAGGGGGGAGTCTTAATTTTTTTGAGGTGCAGAAAGCAGGAAAAGGGGGGGGAGTACTAAATCAAAATATTTTCCTTGTCCAGTATGAAAATAAAAAAAAATTCAGACTACAGCTCTCTTTTTTTCAAGGAAGCTGAAGGAACTAAATCAATTCTATTTCACGACGTAGTGCTGCTAAGATACTGTGTAGATATTCTATTTTTTAAACAGCGATAGAACATCCATAAATTTTAATGACAGACTTAGCATACATTGAATGCAGTTTATATTCATGTATTGTATTCATTCTGCTGTTATAAAAACTGTAGGTATGTCTCATGTAATGATTAATCTATCATTAATAGAACATAACAAGATCTGTGATGAATAACTGGCCAGATAGAATTAGAAAAATTGCACTCAGTTGAACTTATCGTGTTTTCCCAAAACTATGACCTACCTCAAAAATACATCTGAGCCTGATTGTTTGGGGTGGGCTTAATATAAGCCCTACCCCCCCCCCCAAAAAAAAGCCCTAGTGAAGGGGTGGGTATGGCTAGCACAAGAGGCAGCCCTTCCCTTCCCCAGTCACCTCATGGCTTCTTGGCCCCTTAATCATGGCCAGCGGATCGGCTGAGCCAGCGCGGGCTGGGAATTCTGCCTCTCCGGGAGCCTGGAGATGTTTCCGGAGCAGTCTGCCCAGCCCAGCCCAGCCCTGCCCATGGCATCAGGCATCCTCACAGCCAAGGATCCTTCTCTTCCACAGCTTACCTTGTGGCTCTGGGGCAGGCAGAGACCGCGGTTTGTGCTCTGCCAGGCCTGGAGTCAAGTTTTGCTCAGGCTTCTGCTGCAGTGAGGCAGATGGGGGTGGATAGAGGCAGGTGGGGGAGCTGATTCCAACGGGCCGCGTGGCTTTCTGCCTCATCATAGCAGCAGCCTGATCAACACGCGACTCCAAGCCTGGCGGAGTACAAACCGTGGTTGCCGCCTGCTCCAGAGCCACAAGGTAAGCTGCAGAAGAGAGGGGCCTTAGGCTGCGAGGTTGCCTGGCGTTGTGGCCGGGGCTGGGGCTGGCAAGAGGGCACCCGAAACATCTCCAGACACCCGGAGAGACAGAACTCCCAGCCCTCACTGGCTCACCTGATCCGCAGGATATAGTTAAGATGGCGAGCAGCCATGAGGCGATGGCATGTGCCTCCTCCTGCACCTTAAAAAAATTAAGACCCCTCCAAAAGAAGCCCTAGTCTTTTTTTGCGGGGGGGGGAAATAAGACGGGGTCTTATTTTCAGGGAAACATGGTAGTCATCAGTTTTGCATAAGTTGTGCTTAAATTCAAATGTTAATATACGTTATATTCCATTTTCTAATGGTTTTTGTTAATCTCAGGTCCTGAGATTGATGATGAACCAACCCAAGAAGACTTGGAATGTAAACTAAAAGGGTTTATTGACTTGACTTTGGACAAGAGGTAGGGAAAATCTGAGAAGTACACTTGAGTAACTCTCTAGTTCATGGGTTGGAGGTCATGATAGCTTTATTAAATGTCCCTGTGGGCTTTACTGCTCAAGTCATGTGCAAGATTGTTTTTGAAGCTATTGACAAATAACTTTTATGCCACCATTTTCACTAGTAATTTTAACTATTAGTAGTGTTGTAAATGTATCTAATTTAAATTTAGACTTCACAGTTTATTGCTTTCCCCCTTATTGTTTGTTGTTATTTCTCTCTCAGAAGTTTTCTAATAAAACTTGGAATTTTCCTTCGGACTTGTAAGAAAGGAAAATGCTGTGGGAGTTTGTAAAAAAAATGTCTTTCAAGAATGCGTTTGATACTTTACTATACTTTACTATAGAACAGAGGTTAAGTATTTGAGGCAGTTATCACAATTGGGACTGTTTGGGAAATTTTGATGAGCATTTTTCAAACTTAACATTGCAAACTTTAGTTTCATTTTACTAATAGACAATCCAAGATCTTTTTGGTCATCATTTCAGAGATAATTTCTTATCTCATGTTGACCATAGGAAATGTTTTCTGATATTTTATATCATAAAATGCTTTGTGATCATTTTATTTGCCAAACTTGTTAAATTTCATTATCATGGAAATCATGGGTTGTGTAAATTAGCCCATTTCAGGTACATTAGGTGAAAAATGCGGTGTTTCTCCAGGTTACGGACACGAGTTTTAGTAGTTTATAGCAGGGGTCTCCAACCTTGGCAACTTTAAGACTTCAAGTGGACTTCAATTTCCAGAATTCCTCAGCCAGCCCACAAGTCATAAAGTTGCCAAGGTTGGAGACCCCTGCTTATATAGATAGATAATATGTCATTTATAATTATGTGTTATTTACAAATGCGCAAGAAATCTACAAGAGGATCGTGTAATTTTTATAACTGATACTTTACCATGAATTTCTTCATTTTATCTCAAAAGTACAAAGACGAGACAGATCGTTCTTGATGGCCTTAAAAGTGCTTTGACATCAAAAATGCTGTATGAGTTCATCCTGGAAAGGAGAATAACGCTCACGGACAGCATTGAACGTTGTATCAAGAAAGGTAATACCGTCCCGTCTTTCTGAGAAGTAATAGTCTGTTAACGGAGTCCATTATTTTTCAGATCATTTTATCGTGATTATCTTACTGATTTGCATTGTAGGCAAGGGTGATGAACAGTGTGCAGCTGCAGGACTGGCTTGTCTGCTGTGCATACAGCTGGGGTCAGGAATTGAAAGTGAGGAAGTTTTTAAAACCCTCGCGCCTCTCCTAAAGAAAATACTCTGTGATGTCTCAGCAAGTACGAAAGCTAGACAAGCTGTAAGTATGTAGATGCTAGTTATTATTCCCTAGTGATATTTCAGTAAGCGTTTAAAAGTCCACATGCTTTCTCTTAAGAGAAAGTAAAAGAAAATGATGTATTAGCTTAAAGAAAATGTTTAAAAAAGGTGTTATAAAATAAAAAATAATAATTATCCCATAAGAGTAGGTTGGAGGGAGGGAGCTAAATGCAGTGTTGAGATGTAAAACTTGTATGTTAAAGAATAAGATGTATTAGAAAGTTTTGACTCAAAAGAAAAAAGGGCTTTTTTGTTTTTAAAAAAGTTTAGTACTTTGAAGGAAAAAAAAGATAAAAACTAGATCAGCTACAATGGACTTATGGATATTGATCACTGTTATGAAAGTACTAGAAAAATAAACATGATTTTTAACTTCTCTTTTCTAGTCTGCTACCTGCTTAGGTGTCTGTTGCTTTATTGCTACGGAAGATATCATGGTAAGAATTTTTTTTTGTTAAATGTTACTATTTAATGCTCAGTTAAATGTTTGCTTAATGGTGTTTTATTAATTTCCAATTAGGAATTATATTTCACTATGGAATGCTTGGAAAGTATATTCACAAAATCCTACCAGAAAGAGAGAACTCAAAATGGTATTTCGAGCACTCATAACGCAGGTCTTTATATAAGCACTCTCTTGGCATGGACCCTTCTGTTGACCATCTGCCCAATGAATGAAGTGAAGAAAAAGCTTGAAATGTATGTATTGTGTTCCTTGATAGTCATCTTGGGAGTGAAATGTGCTGAATCTTTCTAATTATAGGTTAAGGGTAGGAAGCAGCCTTATCTAAAACCCTACTGGTTTACTTTAACAGGACACAAAAGGAAGAAGAAATGCCATTTTCCCCCCTTTTCTCTATTTTAATGTTTTTCCTTTGGTTGCAGTTGTTATGCCAACAGGTTATATTTTGGGAAAATTGGAAGTTATAATATTACAGAGATTGTGATATATAAATGGAACGTCCTCTTTTGATCTCCACCAATATAGAGATTTGGGTATGCAAGAAAAAAAAGCAGAAATTCTAGTTTGAAAGACTTTCTCTTTAGTCCTGGAAGCAAATCAGAATATCTGAGGGTCCTTGGAAATTAATTCTGTGCAGCATAACACTATATCTCAGATCTGCTTTACCATGTTCAGTGTATTTATTGTAAGTATTTTGATTTTCCTAGACATTTGCATCAATTACTGAGCCTGCTGTCCTGTGATGATGTAAACCTGAGGATTGCTGCTGGGGAAACGTTGGCTGTTTTATTTGAACTTGCAAGAGAATCTGATGAGGTATATCCAAAGAAATAGAAGGCAGGAAGTAGAGAGAGATAGTATTTGGAATGGTGCTTTTATAATATTGTTTCATTCAGATGGGAAAATGAAAGGTGTTGGTCAATCTACAACTTCTCAGGTAATATTGAATTATAATATTGCAATATTGGTGTAGAGGAATTTTGAGAAATCTTCAACATTTGGAGAGTTACAGATTTCTCCATCTGTATATATGGTCACTCTTAAATAAAAGCATGCTAAACCCTATCCATGTAGATAGCTCAAATGAAGCATGTGAATAACTTTTTTGGTAGTAACAATGATGCATAAATTATTAAAATTCTATTATAATGATTTGCAGTCCTTAATTACAACCTTTTAAATGTATTAAACATGCACTGTTTAGTACAAACAGTAAACTGAATCATAAACTTTTGAAAGTTTTGAGTCTTAAACTATATACAGGGGTGGGATTCAAATTTTTAACAACCAGTTCTGTGGGTGTGGCTTAGGTAGTGGGTGTGGCTTGGTCATGTGACTGGATGGACATGGCTTGGTGGTCATGTTATTGGCTGGGTGTGGCCAACTCAATATCACTCACATCGAGGCACGCATCTCTTCCCTGGCCTCTCATGAGTGTGGGGATGCTGCAACAGTCATAAGTGTGAAAAATGGTCATAAGTCACTTTTTTCAGTGCCATTGTAACTTTGAATGGTCACTCCACATAAGCAAAGTACCAGCAAAGAAGGGGGAAAAAACTCCAGAGACGTTCCTGAGACAGGAAGTCTAGTCCTGCCAAGAATGTAATAAAGGTTAATGGAGAGGCAGTTTCTGTAAGCAACACCAGAATGTTTCCTTCCTGCCTTCCTTACAGGATTAGCCCTGTAATGTCTTCTAACAACCGGTTCTTCAAACTGCTTTGAATGTTAACAACCGGTTCTCGCGAATAGGTGCGAACTGGTAGAATCCCACCCCTGACTATATAGATTTAGACTTGAATAATTTGTTTAGTTTTAAGTAAGTCTTTATTAATATCTCAACTATTTTTTAACAGTGTTGAAGAATAGTCTCAGATTATTCAAAAACCTATATTGGGAAAATAGCTAGAAAAACACATGGCAACAAAGGATAAGAGAAAAAGAATAAAGGAGTCAAAAAAACTATTGTGCTGCACGGTTTTTAAATATTACTGTGACGTATGCAGTTGAAACTTGCAATTTCATGTTGAGCTATGTCAGTTTAACTTTGAAAGGAAGAATAATGAACATGCAAAGCTTTCATCCTTTATGGTAGCATCTGACTTTAGTTAATGGAAATTGATCGTAATATTTTCTTATATACGGTTGTCATTGTTCTTGCTGAAATAACAGGTCTTCTTTTTCATATTTATAGTTTAAATAATAGCCAGTATAACAGCTGTTAAATTTTCCATTAATCATAACTACAGTGATTGGGGAAATTTATACCTAAATTAGAATAAATGGCAAGTGAAGGTGAGTGAGATGAGATGAGATGGAGCAGCAGGGAACAAATAGTTGGCACTGAATAATTGATACCCATAGAAGTAAAAGGTGTGGGACAAATGGCTGTTTCAGAAGCAATATACAGTATTTAGAATCTGTTTAACTAGAGTTCTTGAATCAGCTTTCTAATACAAATGCTATTCATTTGGAAACATATTAGTGCAATGGAGTATGATTAGCTTATACTAATATAAGTTTAAACTGCCTCTGCTAAAGTCCAATGTTTGGAAATGGGTAGAACTAAAACATTTACAAAAATCTCATTCTGCTTAGAGAATTCAAAGGAAACTGCATTGGTACCAATCCTTTCAATATTGTGATGCGGTTAACTTAAATAATGATATCCTGTTGTGTTATAGCTTAATTATTTTAAACAATAAATCATAATTATGCCAGTGGGCAAGTTTACAGCTTGGTCCTTGAAACTTGAGTGCCCTTCATTAAGATGCAACAAACAACTTCTGTATTTCTTTAGGATTTTTTTAATGAGGATATGGAGCTTCTAACACAGAAATTGAAGGCTCTAGCTACAGATGGAAATAAGCATCGTGCTAAAGTAGACAAAAGGAAACAGCGATCTGTCTTCAGGGATGTCTTACGAGCTGTAGAGGTAAATTAGAACCAGTGGTGGGTTTCAAAATAGTTTACCATGGGCATGGCTTTGTGGGCATGCACACACTTTGTGTGTGTGCACAAAATGCACTTTGCGCAGGCGCAGAGGCTCTCTGACTCATCTTCTGCAATCCTGCACTCTCCCTGTCGCTTCAGCAGCTGACGTGCGGCAATCTGCTGTGCCGCACAAAGCAACTACGATTCAAAAGCACGGAATAAAGGTCAGTGTGGGTGGATGGGTGGGCCCAACAGCAGCTACAGCAGCTCCTTAGAACCAGTTCGGTCTCCACTGATCTTCGGCGCTACCAGTACGCCAGAACCAGACCGAACCGGTAGAATACCACCAGTGACTACAACGAGGAATAATTTTTTTTCACCTTACCTCAAAAGTACCTCACCTTTACCTCACCTTACCTTAAAAGTAATTTTAAGTCCTGATTTCTTTATACACTTGCATGCAAAGATATTAGAACTCCTTGCTCAAATTCTGTTTCAATTAATCCTTAAACAAATAGAAGCGGAGATAAACAGGCATAGAATCCAGATCACAAGAAGTATTAGTACTGCTTTATAAAACCCTAGTAAGACCACATCTGGAATACTGCAAGCAATTTTGGTCACCATACTCCAAAAAAAGATGTTGAGACTGGAAAAAGTTCAGAGAAGAGCAGCTAAGATGATCAAAGGCTTCAAGACTAAAACACGATGAACGGCTGCAGGATTTGAGTTTGGCTAGTCTAAAGAAAAGAATTAGGGATATATGATAGCAGTATTCCAGTATTTGAGGGGCTGCTACAAAGAAGATGAAGGTAAATTATTCTCCAAAGCACCTAAGGGCAGGACAAGAAACAATGATTGGAAACTAATCAAAGAAGCAATCTGGAATTAAAGAGAAATTTCCTAACCTTGAGGACAATTAACCAGTGGAACAGCTTGCCTTCAGAAATCTGGGTGGTCCACTGGATGTTTTAAGAAGAGACTAGACCGTCACTTATCTGAAATGTTATAGGTTCTACTTGAGCAGGCACACACTGGGCCAATCCCAGTGAGACAAGATAGTCCCTGGACCCATGCCATGAAGAGTTTTAAAGGTGATTAACACCTTGAATTGCACTTAGCTGAATTTATGGTTACTGTTTTAAAGATAAAATAAATTGGGAGCAGTTTTAGTAGTGAATTTTCCTGGACTTTCCTTGACATCAATGGTTCTGTGGAACTTGTGTTTCAGAACAGTGTTACTTAATAATTCTGTCTGCTGGCCAGAAGCATTTAGAACTTTTTTAATGGTTTGCTCTGCTCAGGAAGAATGAAGCTTCTGTTCATTGCTTATTTTTTGCATGCCACTGTATGGAGAAAATGCTTTACAGAACCAAGATATACCTTTTTGTAATGTCTTATTTTCAATTCATATTACTGGTAGCATCCATCCATATTTGTTTAATGCTAAGTAGTTGTATTATGTAGGAAAAACTTGTACTACGGTGTGTCTTTTGTGAAAGGTGATACTTGTCTAATGATAACAGTCAACTGTTCAGTTAAGTTGGCAAAAAACAAAAAAAACTTTTCCAAATCTTGGATTCTTGTTTTAAGCACTGAACTTCAGAATATCTGCAGTATTAACCTTTTGGGAGTAAGTCTTAGTTTAAAATGTGACTACCGATGTTTAGGATGAACAAGAAGAGTGCAAGATTTTCAGCAGTATTTAGAAAGTTTTGTGCATTTCTGTATTAGTAAACAAGTCTCTTAAGAGAAAAATCTGTTGTAGCCCAAAATATTAGAAGGATGTTCAAGGAAGGATGGCTTAGAATTTAAAAAACAGTAAATTTGATACAGGTGTTTTTTTCCTTAACAGGAACACGACTTTCCCACAGAGACAGTCAGGTTTGGACCAGAACGCATGTACATTGACTGTTGGGTTAAAAAGCAAACATACAATACTTTCAAGGGAATTTTAGGATCGGGAATGCAGTATCATTTACAGGTATACATTGAAATGAAATTATTTTGGCACCCTCTTGAATCTACTCTAAATAGCACAATGCAAAATCCCTAAACCAGTTTTTAAATTAGACAACGCATGTCTGCATAATAAGGGAAGAAAAAAAAATATAGGTAACAGATATATTAAATTTTTAGCAATACGGAAGGCGGCTCTCCTATTACTTTGCAAATTCTGCATATTAAAAGGGAGTTTTTTAAAACCTTGATCGAACATTTGCACAATTTGTAATGACAACATGTTTTATGCAGTCCAATGAGCTCCTCCGGACTATCTTTGAACTTGGTCCACCACTGATGCTTGATGAGGCAACCCTTAAGTCCATGAAGATAACCCGTTTTGAAAGGGTGAGTGATTCATACTCCGTTGTGTTAAATTATCTTAAATGCAATTCACTCACAGAATTGTTCAAAACCATAAATGACACGATAATATTTATGTTGTGAAAGAGGGAGAGTGTCAGATCCGTGTATCTGTCATTTCTTCAGTGGAAGAAGGAAAGGGGGAATGGACTGATAAAGATATCCTTCTTGATGTAACCTGAATATATTTAATATCAAATTTGTATAACCTGCACATGATACAATGGAGGGATGAAACCCAGATGGCCGCAACCTATCACCTCTGGGAGAGACAGCCAGGGGATGAAGAGACCATAAAAATTCCACAGTGAGACGTGTCCTGGGAAACCCTGGAAAAGATCCTTCTAAAAAGGGGGTGGGGGGAATTAACATGTTGGCTCTTTGTTTTATACTAAATACATATCAAGATAAGGGGAGGGGTTTTAAACTCCCTTATCTATCTCTGCATGCCTGAGAGATCTTAGAGGCTGCTTTAAATCCCTACATGAATTGTCTCATCTCAATAAAGGATTCCTTTTGATGCATTTGGTTTTCAGAAGTTCATTCTTGTTAATTGAATGGGAAAAGTTCTGTAGCCTGACAGAGAGGGAGCAATGGGAATCGAATGACAAGGTTTTGTGAGACCTGCTAAATTGCAGATTTGCACTTCTATAGTATCCAATCACTGCACAGACTTATTTTTTACTTAAAAGTTTCGTTCCAGTTAAAAGGATGCTAAGATAATCCAGGGAATGATCCGGTATCATTCCTTTATTCTATCCTATGTTCTTTGTATAAGATATTTCATTGCCTGTGTTATGACTGAAGTGGTACTGTCTTGTATCTGACATTTGAGAAATGTGATGGGTGTCAGAATATGAACTTTCAAGGCTGAATTTTAACTTCTATGCATCGTACTATAAAGAAAGAAGTGTGTGATTGTATTAATGTTTAATACTGTTTGTTTATTTAAAAGATTTAACATAGCCGCCCATCTTGCGACTGATTAAGTTAAAGCCAACTTAATACAACAACGGCAACACAGTTTAAATGCTAGAATGGGTAATATTTGGCAAAAATTCAGATTCCAATGGAAAGGTTGAACTATATTTCCAGTATGCATTTTGGATGATTCGAAGCCTGGTATTACTGTCTCATAATTTCCCAGACTTATAGTCCTGGGGGATTTCAACCTGCCTTCTCTGGGGGCGGGGGTGGAAGTAACCCGAGATTTAATGGAAGCCATGACTTCCATGGGCTTCCAGGTCATCCAGAGCCTAACTAGTAATAGTGGTCACACACCCGATTTGCTGGTCTTATCAGAGCTGTGTCTATGAGACCTGGAATTAGTGGACCTGTCCTTGGTCCCCTTGTAATGGTCGGATCACAGTCTGGTGGCAATGTGTTTCTCAAAAGCTGCACACACACACACCCTGCAGGGAGACAGGACCTATTAGATTGGTCTGCCCCCGTCGACTAATGGACCCAGAAGAAGCTGGGGGTTATAACTGCAGATCTACTGTGCAGTCCAGCCAAGCTCTTATTCGCTGTTTGGAATAGGAAGGTGACTGAGGCTCTGGATAGGATTGTACCCTTGCGACCTCTCCTCATCTGTAAACCTCTCTGTGCCCTGTGGTATACAGAGGAACTGAGGGATGAAACACATGAGGAGATGTCTAGAGCTTCCTGGCAGAAGGTAGGAGATGAACTCGATTGAACACAGGTAAGAGCTGCTGCTAAGGCCTACCTCATGGCAATTTGTCTGGCGAAGTGTGAATACTTCTCCACACTAATTGTGTCTGCAGATAATCACCCAGCAACCCTCTTTAAGGTGAGCCACCTCCTCCTGGGGAAGGAGGAGATTGAGGTCCACCTGAATGGGCGTGCCAAGTAATTTGCGGATTTTCTGGAAGACAAAATTGCTCGACTTCATTCCCGGTTAGATGTTGGTGTGGTTGCTGGTCAGTGGAAGCTCCTGAGGCAGGTTCTTGCCTGTTATCTGAGAATGGTTTGATCCTGTTGCTCCTGAGGAAGTGGACAGAATCCTAGGGTGTATGTGCACAAGCACCTGTGTTTTAGATCCATGTCCCTCCTGGCTTGTGAAAGCTTCCCATGAGGTAACAGGCGGGTGGACTCTGGTAGTGATTAATGCTTCCCTACAGGAGGGGACGGTGCCCCAGCACTTTAAGGAGGCTGTGGTCCCCCTTAAGTAGCCAACATTGGACTCCACCTGTTTGGATAATTTCCAACCTGTCTCCAATCTTTTTGGGGAAGATTGTTGAGAAGGCGGTCACACTGCAGCTCCAGAGGTTTCTGTATGGAACGGATTATCTTGACCACTACCAGTCAGGATTCAGGTCTGGATTTGGGACAGAAACGGCATTGGTCACACTTTCGGATGATCTCTGGCAGGAACGGGATGGGGGTTCCTTGCTGTATTTGACCTCTTGGCGGCTTTCGATACCATTGACCATAGGATTTTCCTGGGGCGGCTTCAGGGGATGGGAGTGGGAGGCCTTGTGCTGTCCTGGTTTACTTCTTTCCTCTGCGGCCGCTCTCAGTCAGTGTTGATAGGAGGGGAGAGATCCAGCCCTCGCCCATTGCTTTACGGGGTTCTGCAGGACTCGGTACTCTCTCCACTCCTGTTCAACATTTATATGAAGCTGCTGGGCGAGATCATCCATCACCATGGACTGAGGTATCACCAGTATGCTGATGATACTCAGCTGTATGTCTTGGCCCGTGGTGAGTAAAACGTTGCTGTGTCCTCCCTCTCACAGTAGTACCTGGAGGCTGTTAGGGGTTGGATGGGGAGCAATGGGTTGAAACCAAACCCTTGCAAAACTGAATGGGCTCTGGTTTGGGGTTTGTTGGCTCAAGGAGAATTGCCACCTTTGGTCTTGGATGGGGTGGCACTACCCCAAACAGACCTGTGCATAATCTAGGGGTTTTCTTGGACTCATGACTCAGTCGTGGCCAGGAGGGCCTTTGCGCAACTGCAGGTTGTGCACCAGTTACGCCCTTTCCTGGACCAACAGTCCCTACTGACAGTCACTCATGCCCTAGTCACTTCACGTCTTGATTGTTGCAACGTACTCTACATGGGGGCTGCCCTTGAAGAGCATCTGGAAGCTCCGGTTGGTACAAAATGCAGCAGCCTGCATGGTTTTGTGCAGACCCCGGTGTGTACATGTTTAATCTCTCCTGCAGGAGCTGGAAAATTGCCGATTTGCTTCCAGGCGCAATTCAAAGTGCTGGTTGTCACCTTTAAAGCCCTTCATGGTTTGGGACCAGGTTATCTGAGGGACTGTCTCTTGCCGGTCACATCTACGTGACCCATCAAAGCAAGGAGGCAGGATACGTTGCGAGTCCCGTTCCTGAGGGACATATACCTGGTGGGACTCAGGAGAAGGGCCTTGTCTATGGTGGCTCTCTCTGGATCTTCATTCCCCCAGAGATTAGAATGGGCCCATCTTCCGGAAGATATTGAAGACCTGGTTCTGGCAGCGGGCCCGGGGAACCCAGAGCGGGATGGAGTTCATCAAATGGCTCATGTGATCCGCTGTCATTGGGAAGGGGGGTGGGACTTGGGGGTGATTCTCTCCCCCCCCCCCCAGATTTTGTTCTAGTGTACTTTATTTATTTATTTGATTCTTTTTGATAGTTTTTATTGTTTTTTTAAAATATAGCTTTACATTCTCTAAGCCGCCTCGAGTCACCATAGGCGAATAGGTGGCAATATAAATTCAATAAATAAATAAGTTCATCTTGAATGCAGTTTGAGTTGGTTATCACCTGGGTTTGAAATAATTAGAAAATTCAGGGTGCATTACTACCAAGGAGATTGCAGATTAACTTGAAAAGCTGCCTTAAAATTTCTATGTCAATTCTGCCCCTGCGTGTTTTCCAAGTAATTTTGCATATAGAGCTTTTGTAAACTGGGATCTCTTGATAATAAATATCCCAATGATTTTGCTTTAATTTAGGATTACTGAATGAAAACGTCTGTTAGGATTTAGTACAGAAAATAAAGCAAATTTAAAGTTGGGAGTGGAATGTAATTCTAGCTCAAAATAAAAATTAAAAAAAATCTAATTTACAATATATGCATTAATGGAAAATATGTTAAAATGGATCTGTTGAATAAACCCCAAAGTTGTCAGAAAAATATTTAATGTTGGCTAAGATTATTATGATTATGATTGTACTTTCCTGTTTTCATAGCATATGTACAACTCTGCAGCATCCAAAGCTCGGACTAAGGCTCGCAGCAAGTGCCGTGATAAAAGAACAGATGTGGATGAGGTGTTCTAGAAGAAGTCTTCAAAGCCCTTTAACGTTTTTTTTTGTTAAATCTTGTTTGGGTACAATTAATTTTAGCGTGCAGAGTTAAATCATCTTTTTAATTGTGTCAGTTCCACATTTTGTATAGCACTTGATGTATGTTAAATTGGCTTATATTGTATAAATGAGATAGGATGGTAGGAGAGAATTTCCTGATAAAATATATTGGGTAAAAATCAACTTTTTACTTGGAAAAATTCTTAATATTCAATTAGTACTGAGGAGACTCCTGATTCGCTTTTTAAAAATTTTTTGTTGTAATGTAATGAAATCTTAAGAAGTACGTTATTTGGAGATGAGTGTCTCTTGATAAAAGCTGCTATTTGACAATCAGTTAAACATTTTAAAAATAAATATCCAATTTATTACAGTGACATGAACATAATACGGCAATATTATCAAATTCTAGTGATATATTGTTAATGAAATAGCACACAAATGTTTGACATTTATATGCTGAACTTGGGGAATAAAAATATATCTGAATTTTTGCATGAAATGTGTATGAATAATGAAAATTTTCAAATATAAAAATTTTCTTCTGGCTTTTGTTATTCATTCAATAATCATTGTCAAATATACTTCACAACATTCTGCTTGGTCAGCTATTGGTACTATTGCTATGTACCTGTATGTGCTGGAAGGGTAAGTCGCATAGTTAACTACAGTAGTTAACTGCTGCCTAAATGCAAATTGGGCATTTTGAAAAAAAGTAAAAAAAGCGAAATACTTTCCTTTGCTTATTCTTTATTATCCAGAATTGTGCATGCAACTTCCTACTTCAGCATTTTTGGCAGCATCTGCCTCTGAGCATATATTTAATATGGTTTCCCACCCCAGTTCTATCTACCCTGTTTTAATTTTGGTCAACGGTAGCAGGAGTTAAAATGAATGATGCACCCTAAGTCTATTGTAAAAAAGAGAAAAACCAAGCTAATCGTGGAATGAGAAATGCATCGAACAAGTGTTAGAAATTCTTGTATTGACCTGACTCTGAAACTTGATTTGATCTGCTGTGTGTCTTCTATGGATTTGCCCTGACAGCATCCTTCATTAAATATCAAGTCGTTTGCAGTCTTAATGAGTAAGAGAAATAAAAGTAAATGTAAAAATATAAATTGTAAAAAAGCTGTTATATTAAAAAAAAAGGAAAGTGGAAGTACTTGTATTAGAGCAGTACAGTGGCCTCTTAAATGTAAACAGTTTTCCAATTCTGATCAAAGGAAAGAAAAGGCAGGTGATACTATATTAACAATTATCTGTTTCAAGAGAATGAAATGTACATTAATAACCTAAGCATTGTTTTCAACTGCTTCCTAAATGTTGGCTCACCCATCGCTAACAGGTAACAGTTAATCAGAGTTGGAAGGGATGGACATAGATGGTTTCAACTTCTACCCTCAAAACAACGCTATAGGACTCTGCATATCTGAACAACAAGACACAAGGACAGTTTTCCCCTGAATGGCATCACTCTGCTACACAACTAATTCCTACAACACTGTCAAATTAACTACTAAGACTATTACTATTCTTCTCATCCTTACTAGTACCTATCTCTTCCCACTTATGGCTAAATCCATGTTGCTTGTATCTTTACAACTTATATTGTTTTTATTGTTTCCTAGCATGATTTGATTGCTTGTTAGTATCCTATGACTATCACTAAATGTTGTATCTTATGATTCTTGACAAATATATTTCATTTCTTTATGTACACTGAGAGTATATGCACCAAAGGCAAATTCCTTGTGTGTCAATTACACTTGGCCAATAAAGAATTCTGTTCTATTGTTTACAACAACTTTCTGAAATAGTTTTTTTGAAAACTGGCATTTTGTTTTCTCATGATAATGTTATTTTCGAAGTACTGGAAGAACACATAATACAAAAGCATTGTGTTGCATTGAAATTGGCTTGGCTTGGCCTTGGCTTGGTTCCTGACTTGGATTTTTTAAGCCCTCTGGCTTCCATGAAAACATCCCATAATTATAAACCGCTAACCATGGAGAAATAATATGGGGTGGGGTTTTTTTGCTTTACTTTATACATATTGTAAATACGAACTGTGACTGTAATAGTATAATGTGACTTTTATGGTAAATGGATATAATTAAATTACAATGTTTTACTATTTTCAAATAAGTGTTATTTAAAACATTTACTATTAGCAGAGGATGTTACGTAGGGCATGTCATTTAATGGAGTGAAAATTAATTTGCATTTTTTTTTCAGTGAGGGGTTCTAAAAATAGGTGTTTTTACACCGAGAATTCAAATCTGTTATTTTTGCAATTGCACAATGCTTAGCATGGTATGGTAAATCCACGTCTGATCATATACCCCACAAAAGCCTCTTGTAACTCAGATAGTGTTAACTTTATCTTCTCAAAATTACACCTTGTACTACAAAAATTAGGTTTTTTTTCTGCATAAATCTTATCTAGCTAAGCAAAAAAGAATCCATGTAATCATAAACTAACATCAGAAAGCAATTATCTGAGTTACAAAAATGTTTAAACGAGTTTCATCAAGTCTTGTTTTGATTCAATTCTTCAATATCACCCGCCCACTTGCTTCTTGGCCTCTTATATAACCCGCACATTTTTTATGTGTATGCACTCTGCTTACCGCCTCTGTGACCTGTTTCACACCTCTCTATTGGTTGGGCATGAGAGAGCCACTGTGATACTTGCATTACTTCATCAATGACCTTTTTCAGTTCCACTGTAGTCAGTTTGAACATCAAAGGTGGCTCATGTACATCTTCAGACCAGTCAATAACTCCAGCGGAGTGCTGCAGCTGTGGATGCAGGGTGTTTTTCGTGCATGTACAGAAAAATCTTGCAGCGCATCTGCACCTCTTAAGTCAATGATCTTTTGCACACCAACTCTCCTCTCTTGAATGTCATCTGAACACAGAGTGTCAGGATTATCATTTCACTGAAAACATATCATGCTGAATGGTTGGCAAAACAGTATCTAGTACAGCCTTCTTTTGCAGTCTGACTTGTTGCAACTGGCACAACACTTTGCACAAGCCTTTAATCCAGGAATGTTTTACTTCGATGTTGAACCAGCAAAAGTAGTACACACGAACAATGTATTCCACTATCATTCCTACTATTTTGTAGAGTTTCGCCTTTAAAGCCATGTTTTGTAACCCATATTCGACAAAACCTATTTGCAGTTGTCAACCAGTGTGAATCGCTTACAGAGCCAATTTCCGAAAGGGGCAGATCTGTGGGAAGTCCTGTCCTTGTCTGTGTGATCCTATATCCATATGCTTGATCAGTAAAGAGATCCAAGTATTTGTAATCCACAAGGCTCACCAAATCCCCAAGAGG